AGTGAATTAGGTCAATTACGATTACATAATTTGCAAAACCAGATGCTGGTATGGGTTTGTATTCCCAGGACTGGTTTTCATGTTTTTACATGGGAATACATTAACCCATACCATGTAAAATACAATATACCATGATCTATGACYGTTGCATCTGAATTCCAACCCCGGTTTTTACTGTGAAAGCCCATCCCAGGACAACAATTCACATTCATGCTTATCTTGTAAATTCCATTGTATTTTTCCTTTGAAAATTCGTGTTTTAATGTTATGATCTAAGAAAATCCTGCAATTTGATTGGCTAAGAGGAGGATTTCAGCGTAACAGTGAGATTTCAAGCTTTCGGGAGTGAGGTTTCGAAATTACCATGGCAACGCAAACTACAAAATTCAAGAAGGCGGATTTAGTCTCAAAATTGTTTGGAAAAGCTGGAAAAAATCATCTAAATCAACTTAAAAAGCAGCAAAAAAGGTTAAGCATGACAAAAAAGCATGGGGCTTTTTATCTAGGAATCAGAAAGCAAAGAAAACTTCAGCTGAAGGATTTATCACACCTCATTTATCAGGTACTTTTAGCACTTCACAAGGAAAGTCAAACATGCTAACATGCCTCGTTAAGGCGTTATGGCCAAGGGACCAGCAGATGCGCGTGCATGGGGCCAGGAGATGCGGGTCCACCAGATGTAGGTAGGATGAAACCACCAGAGGTATTTGAAAGCGAATTTCGTTAAAATAAGTATCGATTTCATTTGATGAAATGATAACATGCAATTGTTTGTCAGTCAAAACTATTGGCAAAAATCGGCATTAATGGTTGGTTGTTAACCCACGTGATATGTGACGTCAAGTCATATCACGTGGTCAGATCACTCACAACACAAGGCTAGCCAATATAACAAGTTTCGTTACCATAGCATTTATTGTAATGACTATTGGCAAAAATCGGCAATGTTTTGTTTGTAAGTCACGTAGTATGTGACGTCACGCCATGTCACGTAGTCAGATGACTGATGACAACACAAGTCTTACGGCATCGTACCAAGTTTCGTTACCATAGCATTCATAGTAATGAGTGTTCGCAAAAATCGGCGAAAATGTTTTGTTCGTAAGTCACGTGATATGCTAATGCTGTGACGTATGAGGAGTAATCATTTAATATACAAAACACTACTGGTACAGATAAATTAAATTTGAAATACGTCATTGTTTTCCCCATTGCTCTTATAGAAATGATTGCAAGTTAGTTTTCCCATAGAAGCCGGTGTTTCGAATTACGAGGAACAACAAATAACCATTAATGCCTCCTCATACGTCCCAGCATTAGCATATGGCATGGAAAAACCTTCATAACTTCAAGAAGCCGCACTCAAACTATGTAATTTTTTCGGGTTATTCAACATCTTACTCCCCATGTAGAATCAATACTGAGAATATTGTCAGAAGGGTGATAGGCACTTTAATCTTGGCTACTTTCGCAGTCATCGGGGAATATACCTGTATCGATTGACATGTTGAAAATATTGGTAAGTGCCTCTTAAATAATTGGACCAGCAATTTCTTTAAAATTTTTGGTGAAATACCATCTAGTCCTGATGCCTTTATAGCAATATTTAGTTTTTCTTGTAACTCTAAGGTAATTTTGTTGTTAATGTGATGAAATTTTAGCCYACTTTCAACCCTGAGTATAAAGTCTTAATATGTTTGATCTTATTGTTTTATCCTGTTCCTTAATGTTTTATAGTTTTGCCAGTCGGATTGTGAGCCAGATTTGATGGCTTGTTTCTTAGCTTCAATTTTACTGTAGATTAAATTTCGCACTTCGGATCGATGTCATCCAAGCGGCTAATCTTATGCCTGACTCTTCTGATTTTCTTTGGAGCATGTTTGTTTAACACTA